AGTGATAAGGTGATGTAAACAACCAAACGATCAAAAGTTGGTGATTCATTAAAGAGATGGGGAGGGGGGAAGTGCGGTTGAAATAAAGAACGAGATGAGACTTGGTAACTGATTCAGAGAAAGGTTGTGGATCTATTAGTACCTCTGAAACAGACTCTTCAGCCATTTGTGTTGATTATTTTGGGGTCCGGAAGTTTAAAATATCACGGATTGTTGCTATGTTTTGTACTGACCACTTTTATTTCTCGGTGGATATCAGAAGACCTGCGTAACACATCTCTTAGCCACTTCCTTTGAAATAAGGTTATACCCTCTTCAGTTGATTTGTCTCCTTTTATTGATGCTGTTCGCTTAACGTATGCATTTAATTGCCTAATGGTTCAGTGACCCATGGATAGTGCTCCAAAGCCATCGCTGTTTAAATATATAGGATCATTTATATGAAATGAGAAGGGGGCAATAAATATGCAACTATTGTGCGAACCTATAGTATATCCAGTGTGGGGGTGAGTAACATCCAGCTTAGCAGTGATAGGGATATCCATAATCCCTCTGATGAAGTCACAGTTGTGTCGTACGTGTTGATGAGAGTTGAGAAAGCATCAACTATTGAAATGAACTTCAGTGGTTGGTACTAAAAAGTATTCCTATCATGGCGGCGATTCAAACTGTTGAAGTAGGGGTGAACCTGGTCCGATTGTGGAGAATCATTCTGTAACTCAGGAGGCACTTCAAGCAATTTTACATCCTTTTTTATAGTAGCTAAACATTTTCAGGTTACTAAATTGAGAAGAACATTACTGATCACCAGATGGGGAGGTCGAAGTTAGATGATAATTTGCTAATTTTCATTCAGATGCTTCAGAGTGAGTCCACTCACTGAAGGCCATATCAGATCCTAACACGATATAAACCATTGGATATCTTCGAGTGAAAAAGAATAAATAATCAACAGTCAGGTAGGAAACCAGGTTTATGTGATGTAGTACCACTGGCTTGTAGGTGGTGACTGAGAATCAAAAACGTAAACTCTCAGACACACATAGAAACAGTGACGTTACGATGGGTTGTAATTGGTGTTCGGCGGTTAAAGATAAATGACAGGAACCTTTTCACTTAGATTTTATATTCCTATTAATTCATGAACAGCAAGGATATTGATTTTTCAAGAAGTCTAACCATCCACTGACTAAGTGAAGTTCAAATCGCAATGGAAGTGGAAGTTTCCTCCAGGTCTTTGATATATTAGCTGAATAGCATAAATCTTAGGCGGAAATCATCTCAATATCTGGTTCATTTCATTAAACAAGCGAGTAAAAATTATGATAAACTGGTCGATAGTCTACCAAATTTTCACTTTTATTGTTATTTTCCAAAAAAATTCGAGCAAGTGTTTTTTTATGCATCATTTTTTTTTATTCCCTAAGAAAGTGACAAGATAGTGGACACATTATGTTCCAATGTTTAGATCATACAGGTAGTCAGCTGATCTAGAAAATAACCATAGGCGTATGTCTTTACTACTGTATCCATTTTTTATTCACCTGTGTAAAGAGTGAGTTTAAATTTACCACACTATCATTTTGATGTTTACACTTGGCATTTATTCATTAAAACAAAATTTATACTAATTTATTGTTTACTGATACAACCTTAAGATTACTGTTACCTGTCAATCATGAATAACAAGTATATTATTCAGCAATACTTTACATTTATGAAACATCATCTAAAACAGAAGCTCGTGTGAATATTTATTGTTTATATGAATAATTGGAAAGAAAAAGTATGGATGAATGACACTCTGTGGGAGTTTAAAGGCTTAAATCAGTTTCATTTTGGCAACATGATGTAGGCTAGGTTATAATGGACATTTACACTCACTTATTTTGTATTGTGAGTGCATGTATGTCTTTATGGATCATAATGAGTCTTCATCATATTTCACATAGACTACAAGAAGATGATTTAACCATTAGATGTTTATTTGTTCATTCGGAACCGAACTTATCAGCGGTGTACTCAAATACTATTTCTCTATAATTTCTGTTTTATTACACGATTTATAAATATTGTAAAAACTTTTCCAATGTTGTACAGATACCAATTAGATTCCATCCATAATGTTAAAACGTGTTGACCATTATTTTAGTGATGTCCAGTGTAGTAAGGATTTAAACATAAATCTCATTGTTGATAATTATTTTTCTCTTCAATGTAATAAAAAATGTCTGACTTGATAACCAAACGTCAGCTAGCAAATACTTAAAAAAACTATGTAACATTTGAAGAATATCATCACGTATGCCCATCAGGGGGTGCTCTTTAGTAAGCTTATAGATGAAAAAAAGTATAAGATTATTCAGTTGCACGGTTGAAACAAGTAAACGTGAATTTTTACGTGAGAAAATTTAAACTATATACGAAGTGTGTTTTAAATATGACTATTTCAGTAGTTGTGATAAAGAGACGTTAAGAATGTTGAATGTAACCAGTAGGAGTAGCGTTTGAACCCGATACCTTTTGGTTGGAAACTAAGTGCCTATACTAATGAATTCCATCTTCGTTGAGCCCTAAAAGTTTTACGTTTGTGTTTAGACTATAGGTGAATTATCTCAAAGGATTAACTGTTGCATTTTGCAACTGACTGTTTTGCTGCATAAAGACGGTGTGTGGTTTAATGTCATTGTTTATGAATCTCCGTCATTAAGTGAGATGAACTAATTGACCACCGTTGACATATGGGCTTTTGTGCGGATACCTCGATATTTTCGGTAATTTCGCTGCTGATATTATTGATAGATAGTGGCCGGCAGAGGAATCCAAGACATGTCCTGTGTCCTATTCAGGCTAGATGTACCTGCTTTCCGGTGAGTCATGCTGTTTGCAGTAGGAATCGAACCCAGGACCAGTCACCTTAAACACCAGAGCGTTATTCACTGAGTCACGGTAACCACTTTTTCTGTGGTGGGCATGGTATAGTTTTGACGTTGTAGCTTGCAAATCTCCGTCACTGATAATACCAGAGTTGGAAATACTGGTAGTAGCTAGGCATCCTCACAGGAGCCCATATATCAATAGTTGCCGATTATTTCGGTCCAATAAATGACTGTACTCATCATCCATTGGTTACCACGAGACGTTTTGCGATCTTGTGTGCTAACTGGCATCGAGTCTTACACTTCAAAGAAACAGCTATCCAGTGACCTCCGATTTTCAATAGTTCTCCAACTGACATCATTTCATACAGAATATAACCTTGAAGTTAGTCAATCCACAGAAACCTCAAAAGTAAAGTGTTTACTGTAGAACCATTGGCCGAAAACTTGACCCGAACATTCGAATGATTTCAGTATATTCCATTATCAATATAAGTGAAAAACTTGGGCATTGTGGTAGAATGTAGTTCCATATTCGATTTGTTTATTTAATATAAAGCGCACAGTGATACAGTATTATTTAATTGATTACGTTTCGAGCATAAATTATTACTGCTCATAATCATATCAATGTAATCACAGTTCTTTCGACATCTGATTTTATAGTCCTGTCACCTGATCTCTCTTTGTTTTTTTGTTTTTTGATTGGTAATAAGGTTTTCTATATCTCTGGTGTAGGTGTTGCGTCATTCCTATTACATGTGTTGGGTGTGGACTGGATGAACAAAGATTCAGTAATTAATCTCTCTCTCCACCTAGCTAGCTATATTAGACTTAAATACAGTGGTTTCGTCCCACCCTATTGTGTGGTTATGTGTTAGTGAATGTAATGCAAAGGCTGAGTGTTTTTCTAGGTTATTGATCTTATTTCGGTCTGCCGTTCTATGTTTAGCTAAATTCCTATGTTCTGCTAATCTAACTGACCCCGACCGGCTAGTTTGACCTATGTATTTGACCTCACAGTTATTACATGGAATTTGGTAGATTATATTATTTTGCCTAATTGGTTCTATCGGATCTTTTAGCCGACAAAGCTTACCTCTAAGTGAGTTTGTTGGTTTAAATGCCACCCTAATTCCAACCTTGTTGAGAATCCTATATATGGTTTCTGATGTTCCTTCCTTGTATAGTATCACAATAGAGGTGTTGATTTCCTTTCTACTTATGTTGTCACTATTATTTGTATTTGTATTGGTGTTATTATTTTGCTTCTTATGTGTCCGTGTGAATTTCTTGATAAAATGATGGGGATAATTATTAACACTTCTTTTATGTGTTTCAATTCCAATCAATCAAAAAACAAAGAGAGATCAGGTGACAGGACTATTCCATTATCAATTTGTCTTGTTGTAATTTCTCATCAAGGTTCCCGAAAAAAGAACTAATGTCTTTAGAAACAACGATAATTGAGTTGGAAGATAACATTCAAACTAATGAAAAGAAACATTTACTTTCTGTTGTATTCACGTCGTTAAATAAGCTTGATATGTGTTGAATGGTCAGTATTATTAAAGTCAGTTAAATTAGTTATGACAACGGGAATTAGGGTTCCCAATAACACTCAGATGAACTGGCATCCAGAATTAATGAGACTATCTGGATTGCAATACTCACACAAAATATTCAATGATAGTTTTTTTTCAATGGAATGACTTTGAACCCACTTTCCTTATTAATAAGTGGATCGAACAAACTAGTCCGGAAATCAACCAATCAAAAATGTACTCTGTATTGACTGACAGACGATCGATGGACCAGTCAATATTATTATTTTAAACGCCAGACTATTTATATATTTAGAGACATTATCCTTTTGTTGATTACTTCGGTTCTTCTGTCTGATAGTCGATATCCGTGAATCTGTAACGGTTATAACAGTTTGAAATAGCAATATTTATATATTTTCCTTCATTTACCTTTGTGTAGAAGCATATCTTTGTGGAGTATTTTTCTTTACTTAAAGAGTTAAAAATATAATAAACAGAGAAAATTCATTTAGTGACTTAATTTTTACTTTATATTTTCTTTCCTACTCTTTTTTTTATTGTTTCTTCATCTCAGGTACGTGAATTACTTTCTCAATGCACATGTAAACAAACATTTCCCATGATACGTATCGGTGAGGGGCGTTATTTGTTTGGCGATAAGAGTACACAAATATTCGTTCGAGTAAGTTGAAGTTATTTTATTTTATTTTTTGGTTGAACGAAACAAAAAATAAGTGTAAGATAATTATGTTTTCGACTTTCATAATCATTGTTCATCTGTGCTTAAACAAATGAGCGGAATTATTGTTCCAGTGATAAACAAATAGTTCGTGATATAATTGAAATAGAATAACCTTGATAAATGAACACAAAAACGTAACCATGGTGATATTATTATACATGCACATGACAATTCATGAACAAGTCAATTTTAACATTTTTTTTGAAATAGCGTCATTAATATTGTTGAATAATTAGACTGATAAATGGCGACAACAACGAAGACATTATTGATAGTAATAATATTACTACTAGTAATAATATAAGTAGTAATGAATGTGAAGTATATCATCATAATACTAATAATAATGGACGAAACTTCAGTATTTTCCATTCATTTGAATTGCAAATAAGTCATTCAAAGTTGTTTGAACAGGGAAAAACAACCTGTTTTTCTCTTAATTTACATGATGACCTGATGGACAAAGAAAGTTTTCCTCCTTGGTTTTTGCTGGTTGAGTAGTACTTCTCAAGAAAAGCGCTGTTATAAGATATCAATTAGCTGCAAGATAAATCCTCAGGTATTCGACAATACAACAGTGGCTAGAATAAGTGGACGGCCTCAGAATAAATTTTTCATATGTATGACACTACTGTGAGTAGTCTGTCGAATAAAACGAAAATTTCAGTCATTTCGTATTTTCTGTTTCAAATTTACCTATTAGTTGAGATGAGACTTTTCCATTAGTAAATTATGTGAAATTCTCTATAGTTAATGAAAAAAAAGAACAGCAAAGAATGTTAGATGAAGTTAATTAATCTTATATTGTTCTCTCTAACCGTAGTTCAAAAGTGTTCAAATAGATATCTGTGAATGGCAACTTCTAGGATCTACAACTGTGAAGTAGTTTCACTACACTACTGAGGGAAATCAAGTAATCATCAAACTTACTATGCTTATCTTCGAACTTCGCTAGGTTGATCGGTATGGTAACCAACAGTAAGCCGTGAACTTAGGTTTAGTGCTTTAAATTGCTCTACAGTGCTTCAACTAATTTCAATTCCAGACAAATACCATCTTGAAGTGAATCACTCTTTGAAAAAACAACACCAGCGTTGTTGATCAGAATAAGAGGGCAGAACTGGTCTCAGATAGTGACAAAAGTATACAAGAAATTCACAATTTTTAAAATGGACTGAAGATAGAAAGAGTCGGAAAGACTGCCACTAATAAGATTGCTAGTATCTCATGTTGTGTCCACGCAAGTTAGTGACTTATAAGCACAGGGAAAGCATTAACGTTTTCCCAATATAATCCACATTGCAGTCTGTTTGATGTCTAGAAGTGAGTTTCCCGCCACAGTAGCCTGGTGGGTAACACTTTGGTTCTTGAAGCGGTGGGTTTTGAGACTGGATCTCGGTGAGCACAGCATCTCTCACCTGGGGGGCAGGCACGTCTAGTTGACGAGTTCGAAGTAGGACATAACGCATGTCATGAATTACACGGTTATCCATCAAATAGACTACGATTTAATGGACACCCGGAGAGTAGTGAGGCATCCGCAAAAGCACAGAAGTCGGAGGATTCGACCCAGTATAGCAATGGGAAATTACAAGTTTCAGTCAATGATCCTCATTGCATCTAAGAAACTAACATTGATATTATATAGCTGCCAAATAAGTGTTGTGATATTTCTTTCGCTTATTCAGGTTCGCTGTTCATAATCAGTAAGTTTTTGGGCTTCACTATCAGTTGACTCAACCGCTTTCTGTTGTAATCGTCACTCTTGTCACTTTACATAAGGTAGTAGCGTTTATATGCATAATATCTAGTAGGGTACCTTCTGAGTTAAGTATTCATCTCTCCGAAAGATTTCACACTAGAATTCTTTTTGTGTTTCATGTATATTCCCTTTTTATTATTATTATTATTATTAGTCCCTTGGGTTCCTAGTGGAACATAGGGCTTCAGTAGCACGCCTCCAGTGACCTCTGTTCTCTGAGATCTTTTGAACCTGGTTCCACGACAGCCCAGAAGCTCTCATTTCCTCCTCGCATGACCTCCTCCATGTCACCCTCGGACGTCCAACTCGTCGCTTCCCATGGGGATTCCACTCGAGGGCCTGACGCGTGATGTCCTCAGTCGGCCTTCTCAGTGCATGGCCAATCCATCTCCACTTCTTCCTGCATATTTGTTGCGTGATAGGTTCTTGGTTGGTTCGTTCCCAGAGTTCCTTGTTGCTTATTTTTTCTGGCCATCTGATCTTCAGCAGCGAGCGTAAGCAGTTGTTGATGAATGTCTGTAGTTTATTGGAAATACCTTTCGTGACGCGCCAAGTCTCTGAGCCATACAAGAGCACTGACTTGACGTTGGTGTTGAAAATCCGTATCTTGTTCCGCATGCTGAGTGCAGAAGATCTCCACACTGGTTTCAGGCTAATGAATGCCTGTCTTGCTTTTCCGATTCTGACTTTGACGTCCTCGTCCGTCCCGCCTGTAGTTGAAACAGTGCTTCCTAGATAAGTGAAGGAGGTTACTTCCTTCAAGTTTCTCCCGTTGACGGTGATTGGAGTTTGTTGTTGTTGTTGATGGTGGTGGTGCGGTATCTTCATCACTTCTGTCTTCTCTATATTCACCTGAAGTCCCGTCTTAGCTGCCTCTTCTGTCAACTTGTTAGTTTTTGCCTGCAGATCTTCAAGTTTATGTGACATTAGGCATAAGTCATCGGCGAAATCCAAGTCTTCTAGGTTCTTTTCCGTCGTCCAGTGTATCCCCCTCTTCTCGCTGCCTACTGTTTGCTGCATGATCCAGTCCACCACAATAAGGAATATCATGGGGGATAGTAGGCAACCTTGTTTCACTCCTGTCTTCACTTCAAAGGCATCACTGAGCTTCCCATTGTGGATTACTTGGCATGTGGCATCTTCATATAGTTGTTGAATGAGGCGGATAAAGGTTTGCGGTACTCCGTAGTATTGAAGCAGTTTCCAAATTACTTCTCGGTCGACGCTGTCAAAGGCCTTCTCAAAGTCGATGAAGTTGAGGTAGAGAGCTGATTGCCATTCTATGCTCTGTTCTATGATGATGCGAAGCGTTGCAATTTGGTCTGCACATGATTTGTACTTCCTGAAGCCTGCCTGTTCCGGTCGCAGTTTTGAATCCAGTGCATCTTTAAGCCTCTCCAGGATGATGCGGCTTAATATTTTACTTGCATTGGGTGGACAGGAGAGTGATTCCACGCCAGTTCTTGCAAGCACTGAGGTCTCCCTTCTTCGGCAGTTTGACAAGGTAACCCTTCTTCCAATCAACTGGCAGGTACCTTCTCTTCCTTCCACACCTTCTGCAATAGTGGTGTGAGCATGTCCGCTGTTGTCTCTGCATCTGTTCTCAGTGCTTCTGGCGGTATTCCATCTGGTCCTGCTGCTTTCCCGCATTTCAGTAGCTTTATGGCGTTCAGGACTTCCATTTTCGTTGGGGGATTTATGTTCACTTGTAATTCAGCGGCTGCAGGTGGTATTTCTGGACGAAGTGCAGGTGGTGGTCGATTCAAGAGCTTCTTGAAGTGGTCGGCCCATTGTTTCCTCTGTTTCTCTTCTTTTGTAATTAAATTTCCTTCTTCATCTTTTATTGGTTTCATCTGTGTTGATCTCTTCCCTGATAGCAACCTGGTTATTTGATACAATGTCGTCAGGTCTCTCTTACCTGCAGCCTGTTCTGCTTCACTTGCCAGTGTTTCGTAGAAGTGTCTTTTGTCTTTGCGTGCACTCTTCTTCACTTCTTTGTCCAGTGTTTTATACATTGTGCTCAGTTCCTCTTGTCGTTGAGCATCCTTGCACTGGTTTATCTTCTGCTTCACCATCCTCCTCTCCTCTATCAGCTTCCAGGTATCCGTCGAGATCCATTCCTTGTCTTCTTTCTTCTTCCTTCCTAATACTGTTGTGCAGGTTTCTTTCCACATAGCTTTCAAAGACTTCCAGTGTTCTTCCACACAGGTTTCTTCAGGGATGTTGCTCGATGTCTCCCATTTTGTCTTGATGGCTGACGTGAAGATCTCCTTTGTAGTTTCATCCTTCAGTTTCCGAGTGTTGTACTTGAATTGAGGTCTATCACCAGCTTCCTTGAAGGCTTTTAACTTGATTTGGAAGGTTCCTTGCACTAGATAGTGGTCTGAACCTACATCTGCTCCTCTTCTTGACCTTGTGTTAAGTAGACTGCGTCTCCATTTTCTTGAGATTGAGATAAAGTCGATTTGATTTTTAGTGTGTCCATCTGGTGAAATCCATGTCGCTTTGTGGATATCCTTGTGCCTGAACACACTGCCTCCAATCACCAAATCGTTGAATGCACAGAATTCTGCAAACAATTCTCCATTCTCATTCATTTCACCTAGCGCCTCTCGACCCATGGTTAGTTCTCTTCCCGTGTTGTCCCCACCCAGTTTGGCATTCATGTCACCCATTAGAATTTTGATATCGCCAACTGACGTCTTGTCCAGTGTTGATTGAAGTTGTCTGTAGAATTCCTCCTTTTTCTCTTGCTCTGCATTATTTGTAGGTGCATAACATTGTATGATTGTGACCTTTCTTCCTTTTGAGTTGAATCTTGCTGTCATGATCCTGCTGGAGGAGATTGGTTCCCACTGCATGAGAGCCTTCGATGCTCTTGAGGACATCATGATAGCCACTCCAACTCAGTGTGCTCGTGGTTGGCGTCTGGGTGACCGGAGTAGATTATTGATTCTCCAGTTGACAGTTTGGAGAGTCCACTCCCATTCCATCTGCTTTCGCAAATCCCAAGCACTTCGATGTTATACCTTCTCATCTCCTTTGCAATCTGGGCTGCCTTACTGGGTTCAAACATCGTGCGGACATTCCATGTCCCCACGTTTACTTTCGCTTTCATCGAGGGAGAGAAGACACATCGGCCAATTGGCTTCCCGAAGACCTTTCACCAACTGGCGTCATTTCGCCTCTCCGATTCCAGCGGGGAATAAGTTTGTTTTCATTTTTTATATTTTGTTTGTGCTTTGAAGTTTCTTTAGCGGTTAGATTTGTTTTACGGGGTAGGGTTGCTAGCCCTATGCCCAACCTTCCCTCTTTACCCGGGCTTAGGACCGGCTAGTAACTAGTGAACTAGTTAACCAGGCGAGGTTATATTCCCTTTTTACATCCTCCTATTTTTATCTTACTTTGAAGGAATATGAGTTTGAATTATTAGTGACGGATTACTGTATAATAACAAGCAATAATTTGGATATGTTGATGATTACTGTAAAGCATGTGTAATTAGACTGAAAGATGAGTGGATAGTTCACTTTTCACTCTTCAACATCACTGTCAAAATTGTCAAACTGTAAACTAATTTATCTATACCCAAACACACATACACAATTATGATCATGGTGCCTGAATATTCGTTTGTCAGTGTTCCAACTTTGCCATTATCGCTACACACTTCTATCCTCTAGTGGTAGTCGGAAAAGAACAAGCTTGAGTTTGACAAATTATATTTTAGCGTTTAAATTATGTTTCAAGTATACAAACATTTAAACCCTTTCAGCAAGAGTTTCAAAACTCTTTATGTACAAGATGTTAACTACTTACACAAATTAAGTAGTTAAAAATTTCGCCAAAAATTCGACCTTCATGGCAAAGAGATGTCTAAATGAATGCTGACACTATTTTTAACTTGACTGAAGAAAACAGTCTGGCCGATAACAAGACTGAATGTGAATATAAGTCAGCATAAAACTCACCTATATAACTCAAAGTTGACTTCTAAGAGAATTACTAAAATTCCCACCATAATTCTAAAGTCTTTTTAGTGAACAAAGTGGATTCTTTTCGATAGCTTCGTCTTCAGATCCTACAGTTCTATGTGAATATTAAAAAAATTCGTGTCGATAATGTTGAGACTTTACTTATCAGTTTGTTATTAATAGTATACAGTTGAGGAAGTCAACTGAGAAAAGTCTTCAGCGAACTTTAATGATGGAATCAAATGCCACTGGGATTCAATTCAAAATACTTGATTATCTAAACGATTATATGGTGTACGTAATGCTGTAAGGTGATAATTTAATAAAACAACAAGAAAGAGTTCATGATAGCGGAATGAATTAAAATAAGAAAGATAGTCTAGGGAGTAATAGCTTGATAGAATATTCTTCATGTTGGGGGACAAAATAGGTTAGGAGGATTTATTAAAATAATTTCAGATCATAGGGATGAAGGGATACTGACAATATCTTATTAGATTACCTGGGGTAGTCTGTGAATGATTGTGTGGATCCCAAATCAAGCGACGGTAGTTATAGTGACAGTACTTGCATTTTTTGAACACATAACTCAGGTCGTTTGATCCTGATTGCTTCTGCTTCTGCAGTCTGAAGGATTCGGTGCTGGGTAGCTTTTGGCATGTTGATGGGAATTCGGTACAGGATGAAAAAAGACTCATTCATATCCACCTTAAGGTTTTCTTCGATCAAGTTTGCTTATAATGAGCCGATAATGGTCTTTACCATACCTTTACATAGGTACGGTGGAAGGTGTTAATCAAGCACAAATCATTTAATTTCTTGAGCAGCTGCCGGCATATAACTGTAGGATTTGAAGAGGAAGTCATCGACAAGAATATTCTTTGTTCCCTCAGTTAATGTCAAGTGATAACTGAAGGTGAAAAGAAAACTCGGCTCAAGCTATAATTCAAAGCATCTACCTCCCCCTACCGACTAAACTACGATAATAAGATACAGACTAAGTATTTATTCTACTTCACTCACTAGGGTTTGCTTACTATCGACTGGTTTTCATGTTTAGGAAAATGTTGATTTCTGTCGTTTGGTTCGGAATAAAAGTTAGCTAATATCCAGACTTCTGTCAAGCTTCATCAACAACTTTTCAGAGAGCAATTTCTCTCACTCTCTATCGGCTAGATATTATTTACACCCTCGATATTCAGATAGCTTGTCTTTCGTAGAATGTGGCCTTGATGGAACTAATATTCTCTCAGTCTAGCTGACCCCAATCTGTTTAATACAATATAAGGGAGAAAGAATCTTTAAAGAAATAGAGTTCCTCCTTTTTGAATTAAAACATAACACCAACCACAACGAAAAGTAAGTTTTAAGCGTCATGAAAAGCTTCAGAAAGCTTGTATCAAGGAGAAACCTGACCAAAACAAGGTTAGTTAGTTGCTTGGTTCATTTAGCAGCAATAGCAACATAGTCGCCGAGAGATTTTAACACTTGCAAATCGTACTGTAAACAGTGTCAGCTCAGAATCCCGTTGCCTATCGACAGTTCGAAAGAAAGTACATTAAGGCGCATAGTTAAAAAACTAAGCTGGGTAGGGTAGATTGTATAAGATTTTTAGGCACTGATCGCCTCTTTATGGTATATTTGAAGTAGTTTTACGGCCAAGGTCAACAGTAATTCAGATTAGTGTACATTTGAACTGTTTTCACAAATTCATTCTAACTTACAATGAACCCAGCCAACGTATTCATGGCTAGAAAGAATGGCAGCCACAACCATCAATTATGAATGTCCTTCATGTGTCCGTCTTTGTTTGAGTGGCTTTAAAAGCCTCCCCACCCTAGCAACTACTGAGATAATCAGTCGGGTTTATTAACTGCGCTTATAAAGGTACTTTTTAAAAACCAAAGTAGCGAATCTAACTGGTTGTTTAAATCGTTGTTATCATGGCCTTTAAAGTCACCACTTCGTTCGCATTACTTCATATTCTAATTTGGCCGCCTACGCCTTAAGGCCTTGTACATATTTTGCGAAATATAAATAAATGTGCATTAGGGGGAATGGTCATCTAAATTTATATTCGCTCTGAGTCAGGTTGTGTGACGTTAGTGGCTATAGCATCAACTCAAAAATAACTCGGAGGATGGTAATAGTCGGGAATTGCGTTTGGGCAATTCCCTTGATCTGTTGATCATAGGACCCATTAGGAAACCCAGACCGAATTTAAGACGAGAACATCAGCCGAACCATCAAGATAGAGATATAACACGAGCAGTATTAGGTTTTGAATAACGTTAATTTTATTTAAGCTATGCTTGTCAGAAAGTTTCCAAAGTATGATTTCATTGAGGTAGGATAAAGGCCAACGGACACATGGACTCTTGTAAGCTGTTCACTTAGGCATAAAATTGTGATGGGTATGGGAGGCTTGTACCCTACTATATTGTATAAGTTCACTTTACTTTTAAACCCACGAACAGGAATAACATATCTATACTCTTAAGTTTCTAATTTCTGCAATACACAGTTTTTTTAAACAGGACAAAGCGTGCATCCTGGATTGGACTACCAGCCACTATTATTCATTACTATCGAATTGAATTTAGACGCGATCTCGAAGCATTCCCTATAGAAGCATCTATGCCAAGAATGGTCTACCAATTAGTTCCAAATCAACAATAGGCAGTTACAAGCTAATAACATAATTCCAGCTTTACTGGTGGAGAGTAGTAGCCAGCAATGGAAACTAGGATGTGTATTTAATCCTACTTGGGACTCGTCTGGGTAGTCGGTTCAGTCATTGACACAAATTCAAAGCTACAGCATAAAACTATCATCTCTACTTGTTTAGAAAACCGAAACAAGACTCTCGTGAATCGTTCACTGTGAAAGTCACAGTCACAGCTTCTTCAACAGAATATTCAGGGTTTTCTCTAAGGTCGAAATTATGTAGTCAAATAGTATATATAATGATTTTGTGTGTTGTTCACACAGATGGGTTCGAATAAAGCGGGGAATTTCGCCATTTTAACCTCTTGTCTGAAAAAACTGTAACTAGATTTCTAGGATAGATGTTGAAATTACTTTTTTTTCAGATGCTTTGAGATTTATACGACTGTAACCTATGTCTAAGGTAAACTTGCAAAAGATTGAGAAAGCCATTCTAACAATGGAAGTAGCTGATAATATGGGATGAAGTTGGGTAAGGTCAACTCTTTCACTTGGAAGGAACTCTTTAAGGTTGAATACTTTCAAACTCTTGGTTGTACTGTGTTCTCTGACCTGGGTTGTTTAATTGTGAAGCTTTCATCATCTTGCTAGACGACATTATCAGGACTAACTTCAGTACTGAAGTCAGATCAGGTCAGAGAACACAATACAACCAAGATCATCCACTTGAGCTACAAATATTCTCGACTATTTCAGAATCATACGAGTGTGACTTTCAAACTCTACACACCACTAATCACAGACCATTTTTCGGATGTTTAGTACAGTGCCACTGTGCATATTCGTTTTGTAAGATTTAAAGAGTATTTGTCATTATCAATGTTTATTCTTACGCTTTCCGCATAACTTGTTACTTTTGATTTCCATGGTTATTTAGATACTAAGAAATCATGTTATGGTTCGAGTCGGCGGTGGTTGGGATACTCTCAGCCATTTTCTGTCTAAATATGATGAGTGTCGTAAAGTCAATCCATGTAAGTTTAGTTTTTCTGAAAAATGTTTTGGCGCTTTTAAAATATTTTTCTAGTGTAAAGAGTTCAGGGATGTTAAGTGGTACTGGAGATAGTAACATACTAATCAATCAGTATCAACATTGGACCAGGTAACGGTCCAAGTTGCCACATCTCATCAGCACTCCAAGTAATAAAGTAGTTAGATAAAACATGAAGAAAGGAGGAAAAATTGGTCAGAAGCAGTATAAAATAGTAAAAGAAAGCAAGAAGGAATAAGAAAGTAGTGAGTTTAGCACATCGATTAAGATGAAGATAAGATGTGAATGCATCTGCTCCACTGATATCGATGCTCGGACATATTTCCAAGGGTCTCCAAACACTGATTCCTTTTATCACGTAGATCCCGACCAGTTAGTGTGCATCTCCCTATATGGAGCAAACCAACAGTCAAAGACTTCATGCAGTGATGCCATTTTTCACTCTGTCCACCCTGAACCTTTTCAAGATTGGGCAACGAGACAGACGGTGACTAGGCCTGCGTAACACATATCTAAGCCATCTAAGTCGATGAAAATCTGCGACTTTTTCAACTTAATTTCCTCTCCCCTTAAAAATCTAAACCTGACTTCTGTGTTACTGATGAAGTGACACCAAAACACATGGCCCATGCTAAGAAGGGAACGGTGGTCGAACATCATATACCTTCTCATCTCATTTACCTTTAATAAGCATGCTTCACAGAGACACATTAGGACAAAGTGGACTGCAGCATAAAATACGCGACCCTCAATAGACAATAGGATATAGCGGCGACGTCACAAATGACGTGAGTTGGTGGAAGCCAATCAAACCTTTTGTATTCATGAAGAAACTTCGTCGGCCTCTAATCCATCAGGGTTGATTCAACTTCCCAGGTAAGCTGGTAACATGGATGACTACGACCTGAATGAGTAAAAATCGATGAATGAGGAAATTTATCGATAATTCGTCCTGTGCATGTTTAGTTGGAACTGACAGGTTATGGTGAGTATAAAACGGTAAACATTCAGATATCAAACTGTATGGTTTAAATTTACTTGGAATTCCTTTGCAACATAATGTGTAGCTTGATGTGATTATATCTGATGACTGAAGGTTCAGCCCAATGAAAAGCTGAACCACTGATAAGCTACTAAGTAGCATTTCAACGCTAGTAGGCAATCAGATTAGTTATAAACCAGACGTTCCAGGTGAGTTTAGATAGTGATGATTATGAATACTGTTGTACATGTGAATTCATAAGTCTAAAGGGTAAGCAAAGAAATCCACCTATGACACATTTGACGTTTAAAAATGCACTTATATGAATGATTTAGTCAATAAGTAACTGGTAGTGTGTATGCATAGAAGTTATATGATATGGAAATTGAGAATGAAACGGACAAACTATTGATTGGGTTACTGCTTGGTATGCATCTTGAAGTAGGGGCTTGCCAATCAAGTCAGTTGGAAGATGACAGAGCGAATCTGTCGAATAGTCAAAGAAACAATGCAGAGTTTAATTAACTATCAAGTGACAAAAACAGTCGACATTGACTGAAACTTATCATCCAGGAAGAAAATCAAGACCAAAAGTTACAGTGAAGCTTGTTATAATGCGCTACTATGGAGACCAAGGATGTCTCATATGCCAGTGGGGCCTTCACAACTAAACCATCCAATTTAGGGTGTGTGTATTTCAACAAGTTTGCCTTGAATTTAATAACCTTTCCGTTAAACCGGAGATTAACTACTTAGTGGAACTGGGATACTGTATCCTTTCAGTTTTGGTGGTGGATGTTTGAAAGCGCAGACCGCTTCAAATACTTAGACAGTCGCATGTACTCGAATGAATTGGTTGCTGATAGAATCTTGAACTAGGTACAAAAAAGCCACACAACAGGACATTTTATCTTACTATGTATATGTCAACGTTGATTGTTAAAGGTGAAGGGTATCACTCTGGTCACTAGACCAGCAGCAGTTATTGGAAAATCAGATCCATAAAGCTTGTATCATCCATCTTGGTTAGAGAATAGGCCTTCGGAAGCACCTACCGATTGACTCATAGACCTGGTAAATTGTCTGCTACCTCCGCGTAGGCAGTAAAGATTGAAATGCCTGGGTGTCGTCATTTAATCACAGTGGTAAAGCGGTTAATATTAATTGGGTGATGAGTTTACTGAAATAAGGCATGATAACTTGAACCGTTAGACAGTAATGCTAGGTTTCACACTGATGCTGACTAATGTGAATTACCTCATCTTAAAGCAGTTTAAGTGGAACAATCAACTAAAGTCAATGATTCAAGGAGATTGGCTCGAAACACCAGTCTACAGAAGCTCTTTTAACGATGTTTATTATATACTATGATAAATAGACTTGTGTAATCATTTTAAAGGCAACAGACATACGGATATTTTAATATCCTTTTCACTTTTTTATTCTTTAGTATGAATAAACATAAGAGAGATGTTTAGTAAAAAAGTGAAAGGTTAATGAACTCACTGTCTAAGTTATACATTTCATGTACAACTAACCATTGACTATATTTCTACCAGAGTCTACTTTCTAACCCATAGATAATTTTATATTTAAACAATAAATGAAATATCCAGCTTTTAATCACTTAAAAAACAATAGTATTTCTGTGTTGTTTTTTTTATTATTTCTTCTCATTAATATCTTCATTTTACTTTTGATTATCCACATGAATCAGCATCTTGTAAATTTTCTTCATCAAATCAAAAGAATACAAATAGAATAATACAAGAGAATAAAAACAATTATCAAATGAATTATAGATCAAAACCATTGGAAAAGTATGAATTATCAATAGACAAGAAGATCAGTGAATATCGAAATGAATTAAAAAAGTGTACATCAGATTTATCATCACCTTTAGGGGATAATGAAACTCTTAATAAATCTCAGGTAAGTGTTGAACAAATATATGAATATATATATACTTATCAATAGACAAGAAATCGAAAAATAATATATATATATATATGGGGGGTTTAATAATGCAGTAATGTAAGAATAAACTATTGACCACTATGATAGATTGTTTGTTAGATATATCCTGAAAGTGAAACATTTAACAAACAGAATAGAATGCAGTTAAGGCGAAGTGTATCTTGTATTTATTTAAAGCGTAAATTCTCAGAATTTTGAAGTCTTTTTAATTCATTTTGTTTGAGATAGAACATACCAAATGGTAACAGGATTGATTATTATGCTGTCTACAATCAGTATATCACTTAGCTGTGAATACTTATGCAACGTATATTCACAAACAAGCTAAGCGATTTAAGCTTTCAAAATTCAACACTCACCTTCGCTTGAAAATCGAAGTGCTGTAGCGTATACTGTTGAACATAGTGACACTGTTGCGTTGATACAATAAACGCTGCTAATCTTTGATTCATTCATGTTGGAAGCTATCTACTAGAGAGTGTACATGGGAAAAACTGGTAAACATCATGATAACTAGTCACTGTGTGGTTGACCGACTCCAGGATGTTTTGTTTATACCTCCAGAACAGGATAGGGAAAAAAAACTGTAAACATGTCGACAATTTGTTGGGAAAAAGAAGTATCTATGATGTATACGTTAGACTGAGTCATTTATTCATCATCTGCAACGATATGTTCATACACGTATTCCTGTTTGTAAAATTGAATAGGAAAAGAATAATGACTAGAGCAGAATAACATACTGCCACTCTATTTCTCTGGTTTCTCATCAGCTCCTTTAGCTGCTAAAACACTTGAAAATCATGTCAAATAATAAGTCGATTATCATTTTGACTGTCTGAGATAGCTATGATTCGGCGAACGAGTATGGATACTGGGTGATAATTGAAGATGAAATGAGAATCTGGACCGCAGCGGGATTCGAACCAGCGACCATCAGGCTTCCAGCTCCATGCTCTAGCAACTGAGCTACAAGGTCCAAGTAGTGATCAGATTGTTATTTCACTTCAATCACCAACGGTTTTGCCCGACTACCATGTGAATTCCTGACGTGTTACTACGGCTTGATCGTATTCACACTGGCTACCTAGTCAAGACTTCTCATCCGAATCCGAATCTAACTGAATTAGAGAGGGGGAGCATCATACTGGTTATCATTCTGACTACCTGAGATAGCCGTGGTTTGGCAAACTAGTAAATAAATATGTGGTCAACAGTCAGACCTCGTAGCTCAGTTGGTAGGTCATCGGGCTGGAAACCAGTTGGTCGCTGGTTCGAATGTGGTTGCGGTCCGGATTTTCATTTCACCTTTAATCACCGCCCAGTATAAGTAACATATATCATATCATATGGTACTTTTTGCAGTTAAACGGAGTCAGTTTACAGGAATCGACAAAGTTTGCCAAGGAATACAAACATCCTGATAAACTTAACAAGACACTCTGAGAGGTTTCAGTTACACATGGATTCGATAGAGTGTTCCAGAAAATAATGTAAGTAGTAAAAATAGATAACAAAAGAAGATCGGTAAGTAGTTTAGCTAGTGATAAGTAGTGAAAAAGTTATGTAGTAATATAATGAGTTAAATTCAGTTGGTAAAACAACAATCAAAACTGAGTAAAAACAGAAAAAGTAGGTTCATTCAGAAGATGATGTCATCAAGTACGAAAGAGAGCAAACTATTGTGTTGCCATGACAAAGAAACACTTATCACTGCTCCTTTGTGAACACATAATTCAGGCTTTAGTCGTTTGATTGTAACGAGGTTAGTGAAATGGAGAAGGTTTGAATTATCTTGTTTGATGATTAACTTGAAGGATTCTAAGATATCTATTTCATACTCTATGTCATTAAGATGTCGATCAACTGCACTACTGAAAGCACTTGTTCCTGTAAGATGTAGGGTTTTTGGTATGTGTTCAAAGATCTAAGGTATGATGGCGGTTTGATGTTCTCTGAGCTTTGATATTTTGTCCTGTATGGTTGGTCTGTATCTAACACTATGTGGCAGATGTACCGCCGTAGGCAATCGTGTAAGAAAAAAAGCTTATGTTGAGTGAAGCTTGATAACCGGAGAATTTCTCCCACTTGCGAGCACAGAGATGCTTTTTTGGGCTCAAAAGATTTTGAAATGATGGAAAAGGTTTTTAGCTCAGAATGAGGAAGATGATGATTTAGTGTTCTCTGAGCTACTAGTTTTTTCCACGGCCTTTTCTGTACCCTGTATATGGAACTGCTACTGAAGATGCACGTAAAAGTGTACACAGAATTAAAGGTAATATGGGAAGAGAATCTGTCGAATTTTGATTGTACTATGGAGCAAGTATTCCTCTACGGAAGGGTAAGCCTGACTGTAAGATATGTTCTATTCAGTGTGACTTTCAGCCCTCTAATAATTTTTGCAGTGGAATCATTCAATAAAATTGAGCTTATTGTTTACTGTAATATTCCTTAAGTAGTCTTCAGATCCTCCATCTTGGTTGGATAAACTTCTATGGATAACTGTTATCTCACAGGATTTTTTTATCTCTTGGAAAATCTTGAATTATATCACCTGGATATATCTTTCTAACTCGTTAAAAAAATTGATTGTACCAAGCTTATTAGAATTGAGGCATATTCCATTCCATGCACTCTTTCGATGAATGGACCTTTGAAGAGTATTATCCTTTTTCAATAATAATGAGACATGTTACGTAATGATTTAAACCACTCATTTCTTCTATGCTGCATAGAGAACAAGTATTTTTATAACAGATTCATGGACAAAAGATCTATAGGTAACTGGAATGAAGCTTTCAAGATGAAATATGCTAGTCCGAAGACCACACAGTACTGAACATCTTAACTTCTTCACAAATGACTTCTTAAGAGTGACTTGGAATTTTTATGGAATCGTAGAACATTTGCATAGATCAAGAATCTAGAAATTGCTCCTTCGATCTTAATGTCTTCTATCTTTATAGGTTAAAAATTAGTTTTATTGTATTGCTTTGTACATTCCTGTTAAGTTCTAGTATCTTTTGTTATTTTAAAGTCAAAATTAACTGGATCCTTAAATTTATAAAGCGTTGAGTATCTTCTCCATATCATCTAGGAACTCACAGGAGGTTCACAACAGTGATTGTTTATGGGAATGAATGTAGCGTGCTTAGATTCGAATATCGAAATTGTTGATGTTTGAATTTTACTATTCAACTTTTATGACTGGTATTCTTAGTCTGAATTAAGTTGTATGCAGCATAAATTATCCATTAAAATTACTTTACTGAATGTTTTCCTATACGTTGTTATATATTTAATTTTCGGTTTGTTTATTGTTTTTTCCCTCACCTTCATACAAGTTCTTTTCTGAACTGAATTTAACAACGTTGAATGATGATGAATTGAGTTGTTCATCTCATCTGCCTCGATTCAAAATCACTAATAGATATGTTGGTGATGCTGATGAGGACATCGGTGGTCAGTACAATACAAACAATAATCAAACAGAAAATGGAGAGCGTGAAAATTTGAATGATACAAATTCAGTATGGTGTGTCAATGATAGTAACAATAATACATTTGCTGATACTTCTACTGATACATCAGTTAAATCCAAGTCCACAGTCACTATTATAAGACCTGTAATGGAACGGCACAATATCAGATCGAATTCTAAAAACCAGCCTCATTTACCTAATGGTGCCTATTACATCGACAGTCATCATAATGATAGTAATTATTCAATGCATCAGAGGATGAGTAATGCGCTTATTAGCCAGAATCTATCTAAATCATTAAACTCCTTGAATATGAACTGTAAACAGTCGATCAAAAGAAGAAATTCTAGACAAGTTGATTCAGTCTCTGTGTTAACCACAACTGACACTAATAATGATAAAAATAATCATAATACTCAGGGGGTACAGGCAACAAATCCTAGAAAGTATTCAGCTGCAACTAAGAATGCATTAATTACAGCTGATTATCCTACTAAGATGAAAAAATCAACTCTACAGCATTTGAAAGGTTCAAATAATCAAAGTAAAAGTCAACATTATCAGAAAAAAAATAAATCTGCTAGTGTTTTTAGCCCAAAAACTCCACCATCTGGAAGATCTAGGGATAATAGTGCATCATTTCGTTCAACTTCAGCGATCACAAATGTTAATCAGTCAAATAGTAAACCTGTAAGAATTGTGTATGCATCAGATGAGAATGATAAATTTACGGATGGTAGTAGAGATAAACTAACAAATAATGAGTACACTGATGGAGGATCAAACACACAGTCTACTCCTGTTAACATCACACCAAGACGTGGTTCATTAATACCCATATCAACAAGATCTTATTCTACTTCACGCATTCCACTGAAACAACATTAATGTATGTTTGTTTTTTTTGTTACTTTTAGAAAGTGCCTCAATTTAGAAATTTCAAATAGCCATTTGTTTTCTTCCATTGTTATACATGTAAGAATATTTTCACTAGAAGGGTGTGGTATAAACCTAGATCTTACTCCCAACTTAAGCTTTCTGTGGTTAAAACTATTACAAAAAGTCTTTCATAATCTAAGTTTTCATTCTAAGATGTTCAATTTTTTTCAACATTAATAATAATACTACTGTTTAGCTGACATCATAGTAGCATAACTTGTAATTTATTTATTTATCATTATCATTGCTAATGTCTGTACTACTATTGTGAGAAAACAGTAGTATGTAAGGTCTCCTTCTAGAATTATCAGTAGCCCCCTAGAAACTGTACTGTTATTCAAATGACAAGAAGACCACTGAAACACATACTTCCTCATTTAATAAAAATTCTAATGCCAGTTAGTTTCATAATATTTCAGTTTTACAACGAATTTCACCAGGTAATTGCTCTCTGTCCTACTGTCCTTTCAGTTTCTTTTCACTGCATAGTCAAATACTTTTGTCGGCTTGATTATGCATATTCTTCTTCGTGTCTTTCTCGTTACTTTTAACTTTACTTTCTTGTTAACTTTGTTGTCAGTTATTCTTTTCATCTCATCAGTTTTTATCGTTTTTCTTTATACGCTCTCATTTTGAGCAGCACACAAAACTTGTATCAAAGTAATGAATAATGCACCTACCAAGTGGATACCGTGCACTAATGTTTTCTTTCATTCTTCTTTGTTTTTTTTTAACAAAATATCAATATATACCTTTTTCACTTAATTTTTTCTATTAAAAACAATGTTCTGTGGGAGGTCGTTTCTTCAGTGACATTGTCGAATGTCAGCAAGGGAGAAATAAGATTTCTGTTTTTAAATGAAAGTAGACAATGGCATTGTTTATAGTTACATATCAGTCTAGCGGTTTATATAGTAATGAAACTGCATAAATTGTTATTATTATTAATATTATTTGTCCCTTGGGATCCCAGTGGAACATACCGCTTCAGTTGAACGCCTCCATCGCACTCTCTTCTCTGCAGTCTTCAAACCACCGCTCCACCACTGCCCACAAGCTTTCATTTCTTTCTCACATGATCTCCTCCATCTCACCCCCACCCCACCTCAGACGCTCGACTCGTCCTTTCCCATCTGCATTACACTAGATGACCTGACCTGGCCTGGTGAGTGATATTCTCAGTCGGCCTTCTCAGTGTATGCCCAATCCATCTCCAATCTCGTCTCCCGCATATTTGTTTGACGACAGGTTCTTGTTTCGTTGGTCCGTTCATTCTCAGAGTTCCTTGTTGTTGATTCTTTCTCGCCATCTGATCTGATCTTCAGTATCCAGTGAGTATAGACAGCAGCTGTTGACGAATGTCTGTACTTTGTTGGAAATGCTTTTCGTGACACGCCAACTTTCACAACCATCACATAGAGGCACTGACTTACTTCACTGAATTAGTCTTCAAAATCGGGATCTTGTTCGCGCTTTATGCTGAGTGAAGTGCAATGGAGTGGAGTGGAATGGAGTAGATCTCCACACTGATTTCAGATTAGTGAAAGCCTGTGTTGCTGTCTTTCCAATCCTGACTGATTTTGACATCCTCATCTGTGCTGTGCTTGTGCCTGTGCCGCCGCCTGTAGGTGAAAGATGCTGCCTTGCCTGTATAGGTGGGTAGGTGAAAGAGACAACTTCATTTAGATTTCTCCCGTTCATGGTGATTGTTGATTGGTGCTTGTTGCTGGTGCTGTTGTTGGTTGAGTATCTTCATCACCTCTACCTCTGTCTTCTCTACATTCACCTGAAGTCCCGTCTCCCCTCACTGCCTCTTCTGTCCACTTGTTAGTTTTCGCCTGTAGATCTTCGAGTTTGTGCGACAAGACATTAGACAGAGACCATCATCGGTGGCGGCGAAATCGAAATCTTCTTCTGGGGTCGTTTCATCGGTCCAACCAGCGTATGACTCTCTTCTCGCTCCTCACGGTTTGCTGCATGATCCAGTCGACCACAATCAGATCACGAAGATTATGAGTGATAGTAGGCAGTCTTGTCTTACTCCTCCCTCTCTTCACTTCAAAGGAGTCAATCAGCATCCATTGTGGATCACTTGGTATGTGGCGTCGTCATATAGCACTTGGCTGTTGAATGAGGTTGATAAAGATTTTTGGCACTAAAATTGTAGTGTTGAAGCAACTGCCTGCCGAATTACTTCTCGGTCGACGCTGTCGACGGCCTTTTCAAAGTCGACGAAGTTGAGGTTGAGTTGAGTTGACTGCCATTCTATTCTCTGTTCTGTGATGATGCGTAGCGTATTGTTGCAATTTGATGCGCAGATGATTTGTTTTTCCTGAATCCAGCCAGCCTATTCCAGTGGTAGTTTTGAATGCAGCACATCTTTTAGTCTCTCCAGGATGAAGCAGCATGATATTTTCCTTGGGGTAGACAGCAGCATGATTGCGTGACAGTTGTCGCAATTACCTATGTCTCCCTTCATTGGGATTTTGACAGGGTGGCTCTTCTTCCAATCAGCTGGCAGTTACCGGACCTTCCTTTTCTTCATTGCAAACCTTCTGCAGTAGTGGTGTGAGCATGTTCACTGTTGTCTCTGTGTCTGTTTTCAGTGCTTCTGGTAGAATTCCATCTGGTCCTACTGCTTTCTCGAATTTCAGCAGTTTTGTGGCATTCGAAACTACATTTCTGTTTTTGTCGGAGGGCTTGTGTTCACTGGCATTTCTGCGGTTACTGAAGGTATTTCTGGACGAGTTGTAGATGATGGGAGTGGTCGATTCAAGAGTTTTTTGAAGTGGTCAGCTTATTGTTTCCTTTGTTCCTCCTCTTTGGTAACTAGCTTCCCTTCACTTTCTTTCATTGGTTTCGTCTGCGTTGATCTCTTCCCGAATAGTAACCTGGTTGTCTGATATAACGTCAGGTGTCTCCTACCTGCAGCCTGTTCTGCTTCACTTGTCAGTGTGTCGTAGGATATCCTTGTGTTTGTACACACCGCCTCGTCTCCAATCACCAAATCATTGAATGCGCAGAAGTCTGCAAACAGTTCTCTATTCTCATGAATTTCACCAAATGTTTCTCGACCCATGATTAGTTCTCTCCCGATGTTGTCCGCTCCCAGTTTGGCATTCATGTCACCCCACCCATTAGAATTTTGATATTACCATCTGGGATGTGGTCTTGTCCAGTGCTGATTGAAGTTGTCTGTAGAATTCTTCCTTCTTCTCTTCGTCGGTAAGTACGTAGCATTGAATGATTGTGACCTTCCTTCCTTTTGAGTTGAACCTTGCTGTCATGATGCTGCAGGAGGAGATTGGTTCCCACTGTATCACAGCCTTCGATGCTCTTGGTGACATCATGATATCCACTCCCTCCATGTGCTCGTGGTTGTCGTCTGGGTGACAATACCAGAGTAAATTATTGACTCTTCTCTCCAGTTGACAGTTTGTTGAGTCCACTTCCATTCCATCTGTTTTCGCAAATTCCTAGCACTTCAATGCGATACCTTGTCATCTCGTTTGCAATCTGGGTGGCCTTGCTAGGTCCATACATAGTGCGGACATTCCATATCCCCACATTTACTTTCGCTTTCATCGAGAGAAAAGAAGACACATCGGCCAATTGGCTTCCGGAAGGCTTTCACCAACCAGCGTTATTTCGTCTCTCCAATTCCATCAAGAAATAATTTTGTTTTTATTTTTCATATTTTCTCTGTGCTTTGAAGTTTCTGTAGCGGTTGGATTGTTTTTACGGGATAGGGTTGCTAGCCCTATGCCAAACCTTCATTCTTTACCCTGGCTTAGGACCAGCTAGTAACTAGTGAACTAGTTAACCAGGCGAGGTTGTATATATTGTTAGGTAGGAGTGTAATTTCATTTCACCTTCAATTAACATGCAGTATCAGTAACATCAGTCTGAAATACCGTGGCTATATAAGACGGTTTCGGTATTGAGTTTAGAATTGTTGTATATTTTGAGAAAGAGAGGGAGACAGAGAGATAGGCAGATAGATAAACAGACTGAAGGTTATGTAGGAGTGAATTATAGTGAAAAACAACTTTACAAAGGATGGATTTAGCAATATTTAGAATCAAATAAGGGATTAAGGCCTCTTAAAATAGCCAGGTATTTATTTGTCCAACTGTTCAGAGAATAAAGATAATTTGTAGCTTCAGACTAGAACGTAAGTTGTGCCATGATATTTGACGATTCAAAACACATTAGACAATTCATAATAAAAGTGATATACACTACTGAGTTACTTTATTTCAGTAGTAAGGTTTCTGAAATACAGTGTACTGAACAAAATGATGAGTACTGAGAAATATATAACATGCCTACACAGTTTCCTTTAGCTCATCTTCAAGTGCCTAATACTGGATAATAAGACTTAGCTAACCTAATAGCTGCAAAGCATTTCCTGTATAAGAAACTTCAATCAGTGCTAAGGTAAAGGTTTAGTAGAAGTTGAGTGCAATACAAAGTCTGTCTTGATGAATTTATTGTACTAAATGTAAATTCTACAGATAACTATTAATTTCATTGTCTTTCTAGGCAACATCATCAGCACTAACGTCATTCTAAAGTGGGCTGTCAGTTTTTCTTCATGATTGGTTCAGTAGTTTGCTCTGACGAAGTGGTTTATGACCGGTTGTTTCCTTTGGTTATTATGTGTCATTAACTGCTTAGACTTTCTTATTGGCCGATTCTCTGCTTGAACTCTAACCTTGTGTTTGTTTATCTTTTTTATTAGTTGGAAGACGGAGTCTACGTCTATGCATCTGTTGGTTAATGACTGACCCAAATGCCAAACTTCTAGGGATTGTATGGTATTCTTTTCGCTTCCTTTGTTCAGTTTATCTACATTTTCAAAGTTGAATTCATGTCCCTAGTTGTCCACATGAGTTGATGTAAGCAACAAAATGTCATCACGTTTAATAGCGAAATGATATTCATGTAAGTGAAGGTGAAGAGAAGAATGACAAGAACGACCAATAAGAAAGTCTTTGGAGTCAACAATCAATGAAGACTTTCAATCACAAACCCCTTTATCAGAGCCAGCTACTTAATCATTCACAGTAAAGTCCAGATAGCTCACTTTTTATCGAAGCAAGTGCTGATGACGTTGCTGAGAAAGATAATGATAGCTTTGTGATTAAATCATTCAGCTATGAGAAAACAACACAATCTAGACTCTTCTTAGACGTTTTAAAAGTACATACTGAAAGGCATTCAGAAAGTGTTTTAGCAGGTTTTCTCTTATGGAAACTGTTTGAAGAATACTTTGGATTATTTCAAGAGTGAATTAGCATTGCTCGACGGAATAATCCTCGTCTAGTTGGTTGCAAGTATATAGTGTTCTGAGTTTTTGTTACATTAGATTTCACGACTTTGTTATTGTCCATATCCTACCTTCCATTTTTATGCCTCTGTCTTGAAGACTGTGTTGATAGATGGGTGGTCTTTGACATGATATTTTTAGTTGGACTTTTCTGCTATCATAAATTACAAAGGTTGTTTGCATTTCATGCTTCACGCTCGAAGTGTTTGCGGTGAACTTCAGTTCCAACTGTCTAGCCGAATAAAGCCATGAATGCAACATACGTTTACAGAGGAAGTGAATTTCATCAATGGAAAATAAGAAAAACTTACCTGACTACTCATAATCTTGATGCTTAACAGGGGAAGCTAGAAATCATGGGCAAAGCATTGTTGAAGGTGTATACATGTACACCAGGTACTCTTCGCATTTTCGTATATATATGGATCGGCTAGCCGGGACTAGCCAATTTAGTTGTTTAGTGGTTAATCTTCAGGGAAGGTTGAAGTTTATCGAATAAATCTTACGATGTGACCACTAAGCAACATGATATGACACTGAGATGCAATGTGATTTTGATGTTCTATGTTAGAGGATGTCAAGAGAGTTTCCTATC